GGAGACCTACTCACAACCGAGAAGGCGGTACAAATAGGTATAATAATAAATTTTGTCTTTATTGTAAGTGTGTTGTCCTCTGTTCGGTTGAAGTGGTCGATACAAAAGATAAGAAAATGATCACAGTAATCCGTTCAACTAAGAATGTGGAATAGTATTATTTTCGTTCCTTTGCTGCTATCTGTGAATTCTAAGCTAAGAAAAAAAACTTTATGAATTTATAAACAAATAATAATTATTGAATAAATTTAAATTATTTTTATTTCACTTAAAGCGATTTAATAATTTTTTATAAATTTAATGAGATTATACACTTTTTAACAAAACAAAAAATATTTTTAGCAGCCCAAAGCGTTGAGCATTTGCATGAATGGAAATAAAAATAAATTGTCAATGAAACATAATTAGAATCCCTGCAGTAATAAAATATTAAAATTCAAATTGAAAGTAAAATTAAAATAAGTTGACAACAAAAATATTTACCAAAATTATAAGTAGAATTCCAAATTTAAGCCCAAACTGTTGAGAACAATATTTTGACAATCTTTCAAATAGAACAACATAATCAACGCCACTTTGTCAGTCCACGCAAATGGCGAACTTTGATGGCATAAGCCAAAGATATAAAAACAAAAAATGAGAATTCAATTCAATTTGGTTCCTTCTAATAAGACGAAAATTTTGGCTATTCCATAAAAAAATTGGGTGCGAGGTAGCCTCGAGATAGTCATGAAAATTGGCGCGTGCAGGTGCATAAATGTCTATTAAAAGATTCTGTGTGAATATAAATGTAATGATTGGAAATTGAAGGATTTGAGGAGGGAGTCAGAGTGTGAATGCGACGGAGTGGAAGAAAGCGGATGGCAGGTCAGGTAAATCAGTGTTTACAGATTGGTTACAATTAAGTGAATATTTTTGCAAACGATTAGGGAACACGTTTATTTATGTGTGGGGTCTTAAATGTATCAATATGCTCGATTGTTTAGTTGCCAAGTGTTCGATGAAATCAAAACGTGTCTAGAATTTCAAATAGAAACATTATTAGAAAATATCGTAAAAAATAATAATAAAAGTCGGAAATTGACGTACATGTTTTGCAAGTACAAATATGAAATAAAGTATTTTTGCTATTTCATCGATATTTTGACCATTTTTGTTAATTATTCCAAATTTGTGAGGCGTACTAACCGTTTTAGTTCACACATATATTTTTTGCTCAAACGTGGATTGCTATGTTATTATAAAATATAAATGTTAAATATAGAAAATTGAAAAATTTGAAGTCTTTTTACATAGTGAAGACTTAACATTCAAATAGTTGAGTCAGTAATTTGAAGACTTGATTAGAACACCAATAATACAACAACTATCAGAACAAATAACGAAATGTCTAATCAGCTGTCCGTTACTTCTGGAATCCGACAATGCGACAGTTTAAGCCCTATTTTTTTCAATCTTATCATGCAGATTATATCAGAGGTGAAAGTTGTGGCCAGAGGGTACAAACTAAGAAATGAAATAAAAATAGTTTGTTATGCAGATGAAGCCGTATTACAATCAAGACAATGAAGACGACCTGCAAAGACTCTTATATGCGTTTAAAAAGGCCGCAGACAAATATAATATGAAAATATCCACATCGAAAAGGAAGTCCCTAACAATCTCGAGACACCCTCTTTGATGAAAACTTGCCGTGTCTGATACTCCTATAAAGCATGTCATGGTCATGGTCCGTCCAAATAATTGCGGATCGCGTAGCAAGTTGCCTTAGAGATACTATATGGCTTAACAAATATCTAAGCGTAAGAGGAAAAGTTCGAATATATGAAATGTGTATAAAACCTATATCGACATATGCTATTAAGACAAGAGCCGATGTAAAAATCAACGAACATGCTATATCCAAAATGAAATGCACACTCCGAGCTCAATAGCTGATTTCACTCGTCGAGACCGAATGCGCAATGACAAGATTTGGCGAATACGCGAGGTATTGGATATACTTAAATTGGCTAGACGAAGATGGAAGGAATGGAATCTGCATGTTCAAAGAATGGAAAATCATCGCTTGGCCAAGATTGCAATAGTAGAGAAATCAACAGTTACGAGATTATCCGGTCGAACGCCGAAGAGATGGCGTAAATGTTGGATGTCTAGCTCTACAGAAACATAATAATTTGATATGTCATAATTTCACATAAATATATCTAATTCAATTGGTTTAACCAAACAGCATTTAATCCTTTAATAAAGAAGAAGAAGATTAGAAAATAGAAAAAACTAGGTGCTGCAATTTGGAATTAATTTTCATTTTATTATTTTATTGAGTACATATCACAATACTACAGACCAGCTACGACGACTTCATCCAGGAAAGCCATATCATAAAATTGTCATTTAATTTAAAGTAGGGTTTCTAAATATCACTTCGTAAAATATATCGCTTTTATTGGGTTAAAGAAAGGACTCGTTAGTGTTTTTGTAACTAGTTGTGGTATCGACAAATTAATATTAAAAATATATAGGAAAAAAATAAATATTTGAAGGTATTATATTATTTTTATTTAAGATTTTATAACAAGTTAATTAACCTTAATTATTTAAGTATTTAAGATATAAGTATATCAAAACTGTACCAATCATGAAGTAAAATTAGTAGTAAAGAAAATTGTAAGAAAATCAAAAACTCTAAAAAACTAATAGGTTTTTTGAGTAGAAATGTTAATTATTATTATTTTTGCTTTAATTTTAAATTTAATAAAAAACAAGAAAGTAAAAAGTGACTTGAAAATAGTTTTCGGAATTAATTTTAATTACAGCATTTCTCATTTAAAATTGGAACTCATTCTGTTGAAACTACAGATTTGGGCAATTTTTCATGAAATAATTTTCCACAGTAGCTATAACTAATATAGCTCCAAAATTTGTTATTCTGAAACACAATTAGTACGATTTTGGGGTAGTGAAAAATCAAGTTTAGAATCATTTGAAAAACAGAAGAAAAAATAAAAAGTTTGAATCATATCAGAATGCAGGACGACGGCTGCAATGACAACTGCAAAAACTTTAAAATTCTTACGAAAATGTTGTCAACGGCCTTCAAAAAATTTATAAGAGTCAGCAGAATTTATCTGGATTGAAAGAGAATGTTAAAAATATTGAAATTTCTCAAAGTTGAAAAAAATTAAAATTTTACAAACTAATTTCAATATGTTCTTTTCTAAAGTTTGAAATCAGGAATTCATGTTTGAAAGTTCCTTTTTTTTGTGAAAATAATTTTTTGTACGTACTTATTGTCATCGTCAGTTGCCCCACATTTACGTGGGTAAAATCTGTAGTAGTGTTTTTCAATAAAATCTATGATACGCTCAACTTAAGGCTTTAAAAGGACTTTCATAGTTTCCCACCGTATGTAGCATATGTATATACGAAATATTTCGGAAAGTAAGCAGATCAGTCAAACATTCATTCATTTTTGAACGATAAAAAAAACTACAGTATATCGTTCATCTTTTTAATGAACAGCATTCTTTTTACTCCTGTACTTTAAACAAACAAAAATTTGTAAACTTTGGTTTTAGATTGCAAAGTCATTTCTATGAACTAACCTAACCTAATTTATCTGAACGTCAAGCTTTGGTTTTCAAGGCCGCAATTTCAACCTTTATATAGTGACATATAATTATTTGCAAAAATGTTTGAAGACCTTAATGTAAAAGAACTTAATGTCCACCTTAGAACCCTTCTCGTTTACTACACTAAGTGAAAGGTTAGGATCAACCTCATCAATATTTTTGCGCTAGATCTTCTGGGCTAAAGATAAGATTGCTCCAGAGGCTTTGGTGCCTTACTTGTTAAGCTAGGGCTTGGCAATAGCTTGTAGACAAGCTAAAGTAACTTGGTATCTCCTCGACACAACCACATCCCACCGGTTGACTATTAAATTCGTAACGCTTGGCATAGACATACGCAATTGAAAAATGGGCTTCGAAGACATTATCAGCTTAACTGTAAAGTTAAGCTCCTTTGTTATAAATATCTCAATCGCTCCCTTTTGTACGTTTTCTCCATTTACAATGCAAACACCCCTGTCCAAATGTTAAGAATCTGTAAGCTCTTACGTGATTGCACCAACTATAAGCACAAGCATTTCTCCGATACCGTTCTCTACGATAAAGCTATTATCACTCACGTCGACGAGTATCTTTTCACATTTCCGCGTCGGTATCTCACTCGGCTGCATAGCCCTCCCTCCGGAGTCTTAACCTCCAGCACCCTCCCCGTTGATTTCGTGAAAGTCACCCGTTTCAAACCAGCCTCAATACCACGGGCTATGCTTCGATGAGCGGGATTTTGACAACACCATCATCCCACTTTATAACTGTGGCTCTCGTGACCTTGGTCACAGAGTCTATCATTAACCCATTCTCACCTTTTGCAAGAAAAAAAATAAATAAATAAAAACAAAAAACTTTATGTAAATGTGTTTTAAGAAAACTATTTATTCATATTAAAAGTAAGGTATTATGCAAGTTTATTTCCAATAAAATGGAAATAATTAAATTAAATA